TCGGCAAGGAACATTTTTGTTTGCTGTAATCAATTGTTTTTACTTTCGCAATAATGTAATTTAAATAAATAAAAAAAAACGTAAATTTGTAGACATGGGCAAGGTAAAAAATGTAACCAGATATTTTATTCGTCCGTAATATGTACAAAGATATTTTTTTGTGAGCGTAAAAAGCATTTTCAACATTAAATGTCGTAATTCGTATGCAATTCCCAATTTTGATTTTTAAACACAAATTATCAAATATATTATAAAAATGCAATTAGGAATTTGCTTTATCTATAAATTGGAAAAATTGATATTTTTGTTACTGTAAATGAACTTTCATTTCCTGTAACCTGTACAAGCTATCCCCCTTGCCCCCCTTTCTGGTTTGTTCCATTGGCTCTACGACATCAAATTACAACTGTCTGCACTAGATATGCTAATATAGTTTAGGTTTCGAGTTTTACCAGTAGCTCATACAAACCACCGATGAAATGAAAGACGTTCTGTAATCAATGTTTCCAGTCCCGATGTCCAAAATTTCTGTCATCGACTTTTCAATTCGACATTAAAGTGTTTAATTTTCATAAACACACATGGCTGTAATCATTCCCACAATAAAACTACCAACACGTGTGTATGTATAGATATTTATTTTCAGGCATAGACTAATTGCGCACGACCCAAAGATAAGAAAGTTGTCAAGACCCATTATCATAAAAACGATATAATTTTTTTCTAACTATAGTGAGGTCGCTCAATAATCAGATTAAGCATCCCAGTGTTTATATTCCATAAACATACATGGCTGTTATCATTCCCACAATGAAACTACCAACACGTGTGTATGTACAGATATTTATTTTCAGGCATAGACTAATTGCGCACGACCCAAAGATAAGAAAGTTGTCAAACTTCATTATCATAAAAACAATAAAAATTGTGTTCGAACTATATTGGGGGCGCTCGTAAATCAAATTCAGCATCCCAGTATGGCAAAATTAAATGAAATATTGATAGAGATATTAAGGAGGCATGATTGACGAACAAATACCAGTCAGTCAGCCAGTCATCAGACGATCACTTTTGCCAACAGAATTATATAACAAGCAGCCTATCGGCTGAGATAGCTCCGCTGTTAGCAATGCACATTTCAATTAAAAAACTGAAGACATCATTAGAAAATGAACAATATGAATAGTATCAAAGCAATCGGACTTACAGTTTTTAACAAGAAGTCGAAAGTATCACTTTTTACTAAAAATTACAAAAATATTCACCAAAATAAATTAATTAGAGAATTGAAGATATCATCACAAAATGAACAAATCTGAGAGAGGTCCACATGTAGTACCTATATATGTAATATCAAAAGCAATCGGACTTACAGTTTTCAACAAGAAGTCGAAAATATCACTTTTTACCAAAAATGACAAAAATATTCACCAAAATTAGAGAACTGAAGATATCATCACAAAATGAACAAATCTGAGAAAGGTCTACATGTAGTATCTATATATGTAATATCAAAGCAATTGAACTATTGGTTTTTAACAAGAAGTCGAAAA